AAGAGCTGCATCCTTCCTGTCATTTGAACCTGTCACTTCAGCCAGTTTTGACATACGTCTCTTGACTTCTGAGGCTCAGTTCTTCCTCTTTCACTGTGAAGACGTCTGTGTTGTGATTTGTTCTCTCTACTCTGTGCGCGTTGCTTAAAGTCCTATGCAAGTCCCACTTACTGCTGTTCTTGTAATCATTTTGTTTTTACCCTGAAGTTACGTATCTGCATTGTCCTCAATTCAATTTCTGGCTGACATTGTTGTATTGCCTGGAAATATAATTAAGTATTGATCACAGTGCACTCAGCAGTCAAATTAGTTAATATATTAATTATGTGTAACAGTATGTCATTCCAGTAATGTTTGTGACCTACCAGTTTAAGCAGCGTTTTGTGCATGTGTTGAGAAGAGCGGCATAGAGAGGCCTTGGAGTGGCATGCTGTGTTTGCTTTGAGGTTGGTTGGTTTTTTCTTTTTTTTTTTTTTTTGCATTTTTGCCTTTTAATAGTTGTAAGTCCCTTGGCCGCTGGTGGTCTGGGCATTGCTATTTTGCTGTTGTTTCTTCCCTGTTTCTGCTTGTTACTCTCTGCTGGTCATAAATTTCCTCTATGCCACCTCTGCTTACTGCTAAACCCCTGCTGGAAGCCAGGCTGGAGTACTTCCAGTTAACATTCTGCCTTCTGGGGGCTTCCTGGAAAACACCAGCATCTCTTACTCAGATGGCATATCTGTCAGTGGTTGACCTGATTTGGGAGCTGAATAGCTGCTTGCTGGAAGATGCCTTCCTCTGCTAGGTCTCCACATCAAAGAGGGTGCAAATAAATGCATCTTGTCCTCTTTGCTCCCTGGTGGTCTCCATTGTTTCAACTCCCGCACCTCCCTTAGACCTGCAGAGAGCCTACAGAGAGTCATTGTGGATACTCGGCTTAAGAAGCACAGATGGGAAAAAATATTTCTCTGCTGTGAAGTCTTGCTACCAGTTCACTTTGGATTCTGACCATCAAAAGTGTTTGAAAACATCTAGTCAGAGGTGGCCTTTAATAAGAACTGTGTGCTTAATCTGAAACTATGTCCCTTCTGGCTTCCTCAGTGCTAGAACTAGCATAAAAACATCACATAGCCTGAACTCAATGAATGTAGCGGGAGATACATGTCTTTCTCCTTTGTGTCCCTCCTGCTTAGTTACTGCAATGTCTGTGATGAGCTAAACCCCATTTTCTTATGAAGGTTTTAAGATGTTCAGGACCTTGCACTTGGCCTTGTTGAACCTCATGAGGTTCACACAGGCCCTCCTCTCCAGCTTGTCCAGGTCTCTTTGGATGACATCCTGTTGTTCTGGTGTGTCAACTGCACCACGCAGCTTGGTGTCATCTGCAAACTTGCTGAGGGTGCACTCGATGTTGCTGTCTATGTCATTAATAAAGATACTGAACAGTACTGGTCCCAATAGGGACCGCTGATGCATGCCACTTGTTACTGATCTTGATGTGGACACTCAGTACCTAGCCAGTGTCAGCCAAACTAGAGGGTCTGAACAAACCTGCAAGAAGTATTTTCAAATAGTCAAGTCAAATTATCCTAAAATAGAATGGATGGACTGTAGAGTTGAAGACCATGGTATTTGTGGTACATCCTGCTCTGTATGGAGTGGCTGAAGCTGTGACTTGACTTGTGGGGCATGAATGTAGGGAGGACATCTAGATCCAAAGCTTGGAAATAGCCATAAATGAGAACTAACCTTGTATGCTGCTTGGGGAAGGGTGGGATGTCATTAGAAATATAATTTATGAAATGGTTTGCTGTGTAATTTGCCTCTTTTGGAGAAATGCTGTTGCTCACTCAGGCAATGTCAGAGTGATGTTTGCCTGCATAATGCTGTCTCTGGTTTTGTGCATGTTTTCCAGTTATATCCTGCACTCTTTGTAAGTACACAACTTCATAAAAAATTTTTTTACCTTCATAGTGGAGGTGTAACAACTTCTCTCCATGTTTTAAGGCATCTGATGGAGTGGTCCTGCAGGATGTCTGGTTACTGTGGGACAGTCAGGGCTGTTTTGTCTTTACAGAGTGGTTCCTAATTTGCATTTTCTAATGAAAAACTGCCTAAAAATCCATTTGTATTCCTGAATTGTTTGTGAGGAGCCAAAGAAAATTGGGGAAAAACTTTGAAATAATTTCATTTTGCAGCAAAGTAAAAAGCATTAAAACAAAAAGATTTTGATGGAAATAGTTTTGTAATCTCTGTTAACCTATCCTTAAATTCTGAACTAGTTTGAATTTGGAATCTGCAGGCTTTCCTGGGATGGAGGAAGCATTTGCCGCTGATCATTAGAGTTTTAGCAAAAATCACAGTGAGGTGTGGTGTGCTTCTGCATGGGGAGAGGACAGAACTCAGAGGTTAGCCAAAGGGCAGTCTGCTTTGTGGAAAACTCTACAGACTAGCTGCAAACTGATGGGGCCCAGGGATGCCAGCACTGTCACTGTTACTTCTGTGCTGTTTTTCCATGCAAACCTTACTCTGACAGCCTGGGTTTATGGTGCACTTCTCCAGGAAGGCGAAGGGACAGAGCTGCTCTTTTGGTCTGCATAAGGATCTTAAGCTGCATGTTACTGGAGAAACAACATCTCTTTCTGCACCTTCATGTGTATTTGCATCAAAATAAATGCAAAGGCAGGGTTGAAGGTGCAGCCTTGTCTTGAGTTTTAGATAGTGCTGTGTGATTGTCTCTTCCTTCTCACCCTTGGGTAAAGCTTACACTGCCTTTGCTCAGCAGTACCAGAAGGGCTGACCTTGGGATTCCTCCTGCCTCTTCCTCCATCTGCATCCGAGGAAAGGTCCAGCTGCAGCTTGTCCTGCTGGCTGCATCACTACCTTGTCAGTTGGTTAAGGCAGAGGTTCCTGCAAGTGCTTGTTACAGGGTTGCACTGTGAATGCAGTCTGATTGCCTGTCCTTCCCCCATTTCAGTTGAAAGAAAGAATTTCAGATGATACTGTCTGTCTGTGTCTCTCCCATGTCCTGTTTTTTTCCCATTGGAAGGAGGGAAAATGGCTTTAGATGCTAAACCTGAATTGAGAGAATAAGGAAAACTCGGTGCTTCTAAACAAACCAACGAATCCATGAAATGTATTATCTGGAGAAGTGTCAGCGAAGGTGGGACTCTGCATGTAAGACATTGTACTGTCTGCTGTAATCCCTGAGGAGCAGGGAACAACTCCGTAACTTCCTATAGGTATCGTCTCGCACATCTTTCTGCGCGGGGCTGGTCTGCTGCCAGCGCTGCAGCGGCACCTGACAGTGACATATGTGCTTGTCTGCCTCAGAAGTCTTGCCCTCTGTGCTTTTGCAGTTCCTCAGAGAATCTTTAAATAGTTATCTTTTCACCCTCTTCCCTATTGTTGTCTGCCCTCTCTCCTTCCCCCTGTGCCCCATCAGGCCACTGCTTTGGCACTGAGGGAAATGCAGCATAAAATGAGGTTCTCTGCTGTGTATTTTGAGGAAAAATACCTGTGGTTAAAACACAGCTATGGTGAACGTACAAATGTGTTCACATAAATATGAACAAACGTTGATTATGTCTGGATCTCTCTTGTGCATGACTTGCAGGAGCTACAGAATTGTCTGAGGTGTAGGGTTACTTCAACTATATAAAACTGTTAAACAGTAAAGTCAATACTTTGGATAAAACAGAAGTCTTTTGTCTGCAGTGCCATTAAAGGAGCTCTTCAGAAACTAAGAACTAAAGTGGAGAAATTCAGGTGGGAAGACATCTGCCTGTTGTCAAACCTAGGGACAAAGATTGAAGACTGGTTTGCAGGGTGACTAATGAATCCATGCATTGAGAATGTAAGAACAAGTACAACTAAGCAGAGCTGAAAGCTCTAAGTAACTGAAAGAGCATAAATGAAGTGATAGATAAGAATGCACTTGTAAAAGAAATGCCAGGCACCAAGCCAAATAAATGCAAGAGGGTTTTATAGGAACTGGTGGCTGGAAATGGAAAACTTCTCTAGAGGATGCCCACTTAATTGTCTACTACCCAATATGCAGTTAAAAGACAAGGAAATTAAGGTAAATTAATGTTTTCTTGCATTTTGCATAAATTACAAACACCAGGTAAAATCAAATAGTGTAACACTCAGATCTAGATCTTTCAATATGTAATACTGCAGAAGTTACTGAACTACTGATTATTCAAACTTTTTGGAGGACAATGTAGTCAAAGGTAATCTTATTAGCAGGAATAGAAAGGATGTTTTGGGGAAAACATCTTTAAAATACAAGCCTGCAAGGTGTTGTCAAAACGCATAGGGATGTTTCAGTATTCTGTCTCCCTTAGTAAGCCCCAAGGAGAGAATTTACCCATTGGTAAACATGAATTACTTTTGGTCTCAGAATAAACCTCATTCCAGATACTTGTTGCTGTTTAAGCTTTTATAGAAACTGCATTCTATTCTTCCCACTGCTCCCTATCAAAACTGCAATATCCAGACAAATCTCTCTTGTGCATGTATCTTCATTTGTTGTTAAAATATAAATTTTTATCCTCTGTGGAAGGGGACTTGCCAGCTGTCCAGATTGTGCTGTGATGTGGACTCCCTGGACTCTACTTCAGTGGTCCACCTTGGTGGTGTCCATGGTTTTGTACGAACCTTAAAAATACGTGCTGCAGGAGGTAAAGGCAGTTCAGAACTACACCTCCGTGTGCCCCTGGTAACGTGTTTTCAGGTTGTGATGGCAAACCTATGAGTCATTGCCTTACAGATGCCTTCTCGAAGGAACTCTGTTGCCAAGGTGACTTTTCAAATACTGTTTTTGCAAGGGCAGGTCTTTTCTGAGAAGGCAGCCACAGATCTGTGCACTTTCCCTGCTGTGTGTAAACAGAGGATGGGCTCAAAAGGGAATGGATCTCTCCATATCATGCTGGCCAGCCACAAAGGTGGGCCATGTCCTGTCTGGGCATCTGGGAAGCTCCAGCTCTCTGTACTTCTAGTGCTTTTGCCTTGTGGAAAACAAACTGGAAAACAAAACCCTGCTATCCTGCATGATCAGAGTGTGTTGAGGCTGGAGTCAAGAGCTGATCTGTGCTAAGCTTGTGTACTCTGCTGGTGGCACTGATCTTTTTTGAAATCAGCAGCAGGCAAGGATAGGGATGAAAAATCTTTTGCAGTGTTTTCCCATGGCATGCCAGGTAAGTGTTTTGCTTTTATGGCAAATATCTTTCCCAAAGGATAGTCCCCCTATAGGGGTGTTGAAAGTAGATGCACCTATGAAAACGATCTGATTTTTTTGTTTTGGATGTTACACATAATGACAAATTTGTTAGGGTTGGAAGGAACCTCTCAAGATGATCTAGTTCAGCTCCTGCTCAAGCAGGGTCTGATACAGCAGGTTGTCTAGGACTGTTGTCTACTCAGGTTTTGAATAGCTCTATGGATGGAGACCTGGAGACTCCATAACCTGTTTGAGCAACCTGTTCCAGTGTTTGCCTACCCTTGCAGTTAAAAAAACATAAAAATTATCCCAAACCCAAGTGTTTTAATGTGTGCCCATTGCCTCTTGTCCTGTCACTGGGCACCACTGGGAATAGCCTGTTGTCTTCTTCCTTCCTTCCTTCCCATCAGGTATTTAACACACATTGATAAGACTTCCCCTGAGCCACCTCTTTTCCACATCTCTCAGCCTCTCCTCAAGTGAAAGATGCGCCAGTCCGTTAGTCATCCTAGTGGCCCTTAGCTGGATTCACTCCAGTAAGTCTGTGTCTTGTACTGGCGAGCCCAGAAGTGGAGTCATCACTCCAGGTATGCCCTCCCTAGTGCTGAGCAGAGGGGAGGGATCACCTCCCTTGACCTGCTGGCAAGGATCCTCCTAAGGCATCCCAGGACACTGTTGGCTGCTTTTGCTGCAAGGGCACGTTTCTGGCTCATGTTCAACCTGGTGGCCACCAGGACCCCCAGCGCCTTTTCTGCAAAGATGCTCTACAGCTGGTCAGCTGCTCTCTGTTGCTTATCTGGAAGCATATGGCATGGAGGAGAGGAGGCAGGTGGAGAAGAGGAAGACAGTGATGGAGGGGAACTGCAGCATTGAGCCGGTGGAAAGATCCATTGGTGGAGGGCTGTGACAGCATCTGTGAGTGTGCACCCTTCACAGCCATTCAGGGGGTGGTTGGCTCTAACCCACTTGGTTTGATTTTTGACCTTTCTCACTAATTGCACAGCAGTCTTTTAAATAACAGTGTTAAGATTCCACATCTAGCTCAATGGAGAGATTCCAAGTACCTTGTAGAAGTGTGTGGTCTGCCCTTGCTGTAAGCCAAAGGTCAGTGCTTATAAAAGGGAACACAGCTTCTTTTATCTTTTCCATAGCCTTTTTACATGTGATACAATGCTCAGGGTGTTCTTCACTACTTCTTCCTATGGCTGACCTCCTTATCTCTGTAGTCTTTTCATGTCGAAGGTATGACTACATATGTCAGTCATGCACAAAAAAAGTGTCCCTAACACACAATCTGGAAAGTGATGTGTCTATTTAATTTTGGGTTTGTTTGACTTTAAGCATGGCATTTGAGACTGCGTGCTAGTGAGAGCTGAGGGCGTGAACTCTCAGATCTCTAGGGATTTTTTTGGAAATCATCTCTGCAGAGACCAAGTGCCAGCCTTCTTGCTGAAGGGAGCAGAATTGTATTTTTCTGTTGGATTGGAAGAAATGTCAGATTGTTCAAAACTTGAGAAAGAAATAGGTCAGAAGTGTCTGTGGCAGAGATGAGGATAGTAATGAGGCTGCTTTCAGTCCTAGCTTACACCATGGCTGACCCGGGCTGTGAATGCATGGGCTACTGTGGAGTGCTTCATACCTGATGCATATGTGCTACTTCCCAGAAATAGTGTGAGTGCTGGATGAAAGGAGGAAGGGGAATGAGCGGCTTGCTAGGCTTTCATGGACAAGGGAAGGAATTGGCATTGGAACAGAGATACTGCAAATCCTGTTGGACCAGGTCTTGTTCTCAGGAGGAGCAGGGAAGCAGGAATAGCGGGTGTTACATGCTGCTTATTTGCAAAATTTTTGCTAGGGCTGTGTGCCGCAACTTTGGGAAGGCTGATGCCTTTGGGATGTAAGGCCTGCTCCCAGGGGAGCACTCCCCCTGAAAGTCTGGTCTTAAGGGCTTTGCATAGCACCCTTGTCCCCTATATCTGAATTTCAACAGAGGAAGCTGCTTTACCTGTATGGTCATGCTTAATGCCAATGTACAAGCTTACCAGCTTTCTAACCTGAGAGCTGGCAGAGATGTACTTGGTCATGTTTCTTAAGGAATATCTTGAGCAGATCAGACTTGTTTCCCTTGTTTCTCCGACCTGGGAAGCATTTGAGAAAGAGGTGAGGAGCTGTCTCATTCACTGCTTCTGTGCTAAGTGGAAGAACAGCAAGAGGGGAACTGCTGCAGCTTCAAGTCTGCTGAGCACAGAGGCTGGTTTGGGTGTTGTTCATTGTAGTCATCCAAGACTCTCAGAGGAAGGACAGCCAAATGTGCAAGCAGCAGGAAAAAAGGATGGCGAGTGGTAGCATCTATGTTATTCAGGCAAAACTGTGTGTCTGCGATGTAGTAAGGACAAATCAGTTTAAAGAAAAAACTATTAAAAAACTTCTGCATGCAGAGTTCAAGAGCTCTAGTAGAGGTCAAATGGTTACCGTTCATCCCCTTGGGTTTGCTTAATGCTGTAGGCAAGTCCTCTTCTTCCTGTAGGTGCCAGCAAACACTTCTACAGCTGCTTTGTCTCTGTGAGTCCTGGCTGCATGTCATAATGCTTTTCTGGTCAGGAAGAGAAGCAGCATGGCCTGTCTGATATCAAGGCAGTGGCACTGTCTGTCTGGTATTCTGTGTTTCATTCTCCTTCCTCAGTCTCACCACCTACCCAGTGATTTGGCAGGACACGCTGATGGTAGATACACTGTTTCTTTTATTTTTTCATGAGAAACTTTCCAAACCCAACAAAATGTATGTGAAAAAAAGTATTTCAGTTCCCTGGACTAGTGATGGGTCTGACCTAATTTGCTGCTCTCCAGGGTGTTTGCAGCAGAAAGGAGGTAATAGAGGAAAGACACTAATGGCAATTCATGAGCAAAAAGCAGAGGCCACATGGTTGTCCTGATGGCCCCCAGTGCTACTTCTGTGGATGTTTCTCCCCTAAGAAGGCTGCATGCTACAGAAATCACAGTGGGGTATTTCTCCCTCTGCCCCACCATGTTTGTACCTTGTACATGTTTTACGGGGAGGATAATTCCTGAAATAAGCTGACCTTTTTCCAAGAGCAAAAGTAACTTTTCCTAGGGACCTTGTGACCTGGCAGATGAGATGAGCTCCTCTACCAGGACGCTTACAGTGGTTTCTGGGATATCTCGGTGCCATGAACTGGCAATGCCAAGCACCTGGCTCAGACAAGGCATTTTGCAGTCCTCATGGCACACTTGGTTCAGAAATCTAGGTTCCCCAAGACACGTTACCTCTTTCTGCCTTGGCTACAAAAATAACCTTCCAGCTGCAAAAGTGGCTTTAAGGACAGCGATGCACCAGGCCACCTTGAGCATCCTCTGTGTGCCTATCTGAGGCTGACCCCTGAAATATCAACTTCTGTGCTGGGGAGGGCTGCTGAGAGGGTGCAGTTGGGAAGACCAGATTTCTGAAGAGTGAAAAAGGCCTGAGACTGAGGAGAAGGAGGTACTTTTACCTCGTGGCAGGGGCTGAGCATGCCTGCAGTGCTTAAGACATGACTTGGGAGAACAGACTTTGTCTCCAGAGTTGTCTTTTGCAGACTACTGTGCAGATTGTGACTTCTTGATCACCTTCTGAGGGGAACTGCTCCTGCTTCAGGTAGCATGTCACTTGTGTACTTATGTGGCTAACTGGAGATGAGTCTCAGCTCTTGTGCAGAGGGAGATTTTGTGCCCTTGCTGTAGCTGGTCAGAGCCTGGGGATGTTTACCAGGCCTGATGGAGGCATGACCTTGGCACAAGGATGCAAGTCACACAGCTCCTCCGGGTCTCAGTTGGGAAACTGGGCTTGGAAGTAGGCTCTGCTTTAAATAACCAGGGGATCTGGAAGGGTTGAGAATGCAGATCCCACTTGAAATAGGATGCCCTCCTCATCCAGAGCAGGAGGAGAGCCTATGTGATGGTGTAATGATTAAGCGTGAACAAAAATAATGTAGCTTGTTTTGGAACATAAAAAGCAAATGCTGTATCCATGGTGAAACCTGCCCTGTCCTAGCAGGGGCTGTCATCTTCTCTTCCATCACTGGTTCCCAAGCATGCTCAGGGTGGCAGGGCTTGGACTGGGTAAAACCCAAACACTCCCCTGCCATGGTCTCTGCGCACCCTGTAGGGGCTACCAAGTTGTCTCCAGGGGCTCCTCTTAAGAGCAAGGGGGCAAACAGCCTGGATATCAACCCCATGCTTCTGTCCTTGCCACCTGCTAGCCTCAGTCCCACTAACGACCCAGGCACCCTTGAAATTTGTGCATCAGTGCTTTCTGGAGGAGAAGTAGAGCTGGAGGTGACCTGGTTGGAAGCTGAGCTGTTGGGTGGGGTGAGGACAGCAAGCCACCGGGCTGGCTCCCATGGAGCACCATGTCTGCTGGAGAACATCTTGGCTGACTTTCTGCCCTTCCACGTTGTCCCTCAACATTCCTCCTAGAGGAAAAAGAACACCGTCAATAGTTTGCACTGGCATCTGTCAGGTCACACCACTGTTGGGTTTGCCCTAGGGACTGTGGTTTACCATTTCCCAGGACCTTTCAGTGTAAAAGGGTATCAGACAATTTACTAGTGACACTATGTAATTAAAAAAAAAAAAAAAACAAAACCCCACCCCCCCCCCCCCCAAACCCAAACCAAATCTTCTGCTTTTGGATGTACTCTGAATTTCTTTAGTGAACTCATCCCACAGCTATAGGCATATGCTCATTTTTGCTGCTGTTATACAACTGAGGCTAAAATTAACGCATCTGTTAACTTCAATTTATACGGTGCCCTGTTTTGCCAAAATACTATGTTTTCAGCAGCAACAGCTTTACTGTTATGTATCATTGGAGTTCTAGGAATCAATACTTAATACTATGTGCTATTTCTTAATAACTTGTACCAAGGGGGGGACTTGGTGCTTCACTGCAGCGCTGCATTTGCACAGGGGAGAAGCAGATGCCTGGTGCTGAAGGACCCTCCTCTGTTCATGTGGCATTGCACAGGCACAGGTTTATTTGTGTTTCTGCTCATATTCGATATTTCTGCTCTTGGCCAAGTCCTCAAAGTGATGTGGTATCCTGGAACTGTGAAGCCTGTGTTTTCACCCTCTTGATTGTGGAACCAAACTTAAATAGTGGGATCTCGGCACTCAGGGAAGCCTGTAGTGTTACGGCTTTAACCCAGTCCAGCTTCTTTCTGAATGCCTAGAAAGGATAAAATAGGGACTTCTAAGGTAGGATGTATGGATTTTTTTTGGTTTAAGGAATCCTTTATGAAAAGCAGTCTTATTTATTTATTTACTTATTTTTAGTCTAAGGAGTCTTTTACCAAAAACACTCAACCCTTTTGAAATGAAGGAAGCTGTACTGAAATCTGCTTGTCTGCTGTGAAAGCAGGATCCTGAGAATTGCCAGGAGTAGTATCAAACACTTGATGTAGGAGGCAAAAAAGCTATTTTTTTTTAATCTGTTTATATTTGAGATGTTTTGTACTGTGTGGATCAGAGAGAATTAAAACACATCCATGCTAAAAAGAATAATTGTCAGGTTTACAGTGTGTAAATTACCCTCAGCTAATGTAAGTGGGTTTTGCTCACCTTTCTTCTGTGCACAAGGTTTCAAAGGCAAGTGTTGTTAAATTACATGTGGAATGGGCCAATGGGGGGGAACCCAAACCCTTCTGATTTCACAGAAAAATAATTAAACTGGAACTGCGGTCTGACTTTGATCTCAGAGGTACTTGCAAACTCAATAAAAATAAAAGGCTACCTTGGGGACAGTCTGCACCATTAATTAACTAGCTAAATTCTGCCTCCACCGTTCTCCAGTGGGTTTCCAGCGGATTTGGCACTCAGCATTATGACGGGAAGTTGCCAAACAGAATTTGGCACCTTCCAAGCAGCAAAGCAACCTGCTGAGGGGTGGGGAGGGATATGTAGAATGGAGGTGGTTGGGCAACAGGTGGTAAAAAAGGGTAGAAACCGTCTGCTTTGCTGGCTGCTCACAGTGGGCGGGGGAGGGATCTGGCTGTCCTCCCTGCACCCCTCTGGTGATCTGCTGCTGGCGTGGGTGCCGGCCACTGTCCCTGCCTGCAGTGAGGTTGGGCTTCTGCCAAGAAAGCAGCTTTTGTGTTTCCTTAAATACTCCACTGCTGCTTGGGGAAAAAAAATATTTAAAAAATCTGAATTGATGTTATTACTAGAATTGGCCAGCTGGCTGATTTTTTTTTTCTTTTTTTTTTTTCCTAATTTTCATTAACAAACCCTACCGGGTGCTTCTTTTCCCAATGAAGTAATGAGTGTGCTTTCAGATGAGGGGGCAAATCTCCTTGGCACCGCTGCTACTGAAATCTGGGCATGCTTGGGCAGCCAGAAAGGCAGGGTGGAGGTGTCTTGTGGAGGCAGCCCTTCAGAGATCATCCGGGCATGACTTGCATTTTGACCTCTCATGATTCATCCTTCCCCCCTCCCCCCCCCAAAACTGCAGAACTGTGGGGTGATCGGGGGTGGGGGTAGCTGGGAGTTGGTCATTGGAACATGCAATTAGTTGGTTTAGCATCTGCTGTGATACCACAGTAGAATTTGCCCTTAACATGATTAGAGGTTTGTCTCTGTTACTGCCTGGCCCTATGTCCTGGCAGGGCTGTCCTGCTGGCCTGGGCCTAGCAGGGTGCCTGTGCATTGGTGCTTTATGCAGGAGATGGAAAAATGGATAGCAGCACCAGTCACATACAAAAACCCTTCAAGACACCCCTGAGCTTTGTAAGTAAGCGATAGCTTCTAGATGTGGTTTTATTTCTTGCTTCTTGGGTGCATTGACTGCAGTAACATATTTTTCTGGGACATAAAGCAGTGAAATCTATAGCTTCATTCTCCATGTCCTCTAGAAGCTCAAAACATGGTGGTGGTTGTTGGCTTTATGGAAAAGTCCCCCCGGCCCCAGCAGGCTTGTTCTCATCTTAGGGCATTGAAATTACTAAATTACGATCCTGCTTTCATTTAAATCACCCTGAAAGATTCACAGCTTCAGAGAAGTTGTCCTCAGTGAGTTGTTTTTAGAGTTGTTTTGAATTCCTTTCTCCTGTTTCTTTTGGGGAGAAAAAGGGTATTTTTATTTTTGCAGGCGTAATAACCTAAGGTGAGAGGTGTGGTCTTTGGGGAGTTT